TGCTATGCTACGTTGGGCTATGCTATGATATGCTGTGCTGCGCTGTGCTACGCTATGCTACGCTATGCTATGCTATGCTGTGTCCTGCGATGCTGAGGCTCAGTGAAGCTAAGATGAAGGTAAGCTAAGCTGAGATAAACCTGGGCTAATATGAAGCTAAGCTAAGCTAAGATGAAATCAGCTAAGCTAAGATGAGATAAGCAACGCTAAGCTAAGGGGGCGTAGCTGGGGGAACCGCGGGGCGGATCCTGGGGGAACCGCCCGGGGCGTTTAGCACAGCCCGGCCCCTTTAAGCCAAGACAGTAAGAACCCTTTTAGGCAGAGCCTAGGTACGGAATGACCCTGCGACGTACCCAACCCTTTTCTATACATGTGGCGAGTATAATCAGGGCCACTCAATGTTGACTGGCATTCTGAAGGACTCGCAGTGCGCAAGGAGAGCACCCAGCAGTAATTTCAGAAGAGCGCAGCAAGAAGAGCAGCGGCGAACATACAAAACGGACACACAAGGGGCGTTTGTGGTGGTCCGCGTATGACGTACCTCATGACCGTTCCCCCCTTCTTGTGTCGCATTTGACTCTGTCGGCGCTCGCAACGTTGTGCCCCCGGACTTGAGAGCGGATACGTTGTGTACGCAGGGGTCACCGGCTGGAAGTGGCGTTATTTCGTGTTCACGGACTGGGTCGCCCTTCGTTCCGTGTCCGAGGGCGGGCACACCCAGCACAGCGACAGTGAGCCATGGTGAGTGAGGCCCCTCTCCGTGCCGCTTTTCCTCCTCTCTCTGGCGCTTGGGCCCCAGGCTGGCGTCCGCCGCGGCTCGCTTGCCCCTCTCTTAGCCTCGCTCCTGTGTGTCGTACAGGCGGTGGTCGGCGCCGAAAGGGCGACTTCCCCACGCTGCTACAGTACCTGGCCGTACAACCGTTGCAGCCGCTCGCTTCACGTTGGCCGCTTGTGGCTGCGCGTAGCGGCGTGGCGCCTCCACCCGCCAGGTTGTCGGTGACGGTCTCGGTGCTCAATTAGGGTCATTTTGTCCCTTGCATCCCCTTTAATGAGGGTCCCTTGGTCCCTTGTACGTGCACCCGCCTCTGCGGCTTTCGCGCCGCTTTGGCCAATGATCTGCTGCCTGCGCCCCAGTCGTTAATCCCGCTTCATGACCCTTGTCTTGGAGCCGCCAACCAAAAAGCGTATGACGTACCTCCGCTGGGCCTCCCAGGGGCACACGAAAGTGCCGACAGTTTCGCAGATCGCAGCCCCCCAGGGCACCGCGAGCTATAGTGGTGGTCCGCGTGTGACGTCCCTCTGCTAGGCCTCGCAGGAGCCCGCGAGGACGCCGACAGTTTCGCAGATCGCAGGCCCCCAGGGCGCCGCGAGCTATATTGTTGGTCCGCGTATGACGTACCTCCGCTGGGCCTCCCAGGAGCACAGGAAAGTGCCGACAGTTTTGCAGATCGCAGCCACCCCAGGGCACCGCGAGCTATAACGGTGGTCCGCGTGTGACGTACCCCCGTTGGGCCTCACAGGAGCCCACGGAAGTGCCGACAGTTTCGCAGATCGCAGCCCCTCAGGGCACCGCGAGCTATAGTGGTGGTCCGCGTGTGACGTACCTCCGCTGGGCTTCCGAGGAGCTCACGGAACTGCGGACAGTTTCGCAGATCGCAGCCCCCCTGGGAACCGCGAGCTATAGTGGTGGTCCGCGTGTGACGTCCCTCCGCTAGGCCTCGCAGGAGCCCACGAGGACGCCGACAGTTTCGCAGATCGCGGCCCCCCAGGGAACCGCGAGCTATAGTGGTGGTCCGCGTATGACGTACCCCCGCCGGGCCTGCCAGGCGCCCACGAAAGTGCCGACAGTTTTGCAGATCGCAGCCCCCCAGGGCACCGCAAGCTATAGTGGTGGTCCGCGTGTGACGTGCCTCCGCTGGGCCTCCCAGGAGCCCACGAAAGTGCCGACAGTTGCGCAGATCGCAGCCCCTCAGGGCACCGCGAGCTATAGCGGTGGTCCGCGTGTGACTGCTTCCGCTGGGCCTCACAGGAGCCCACGAAAGCGCCGATAGTTTCGCAGATCGCAGCCCCCCAGGGCACCACGAGCTATAGTGGTGGAACACAAGAAACAGGAGAGAAGGAGGAGGGGATGAGAGGAGAGGAGGAAGGACGGGGCGATCACACTACTCTATTCAAAACGAGAACCCAACACAGGCAGGAAGGTTGGGAAAAAACAAAAATCGGCGTCCCAAGATATTGATTTTGGGGGGGGTCAGGATTTCGGGAATCCGCCACTTGACTGCGCTCGCCCACCCCATGTCCAAGAGACCAAGGGTTTTGATCGAGTGCGTTCGTCTGAAGTGCGTCTGCAATTCGCGCTTCACCTGCGAAGGAGGGCAGTCATGTCGTGAAGCCTGCTTGTTTACCTGACAACGTCTGCGGTAGCTCGGATATATGGCCTTAACTACATGTTATGTTACCCCCCATAAATGTATCGGTCGCTGTTGCGCAGATGCGCCCATGCCAGAAGTAAGACACCTTGTCCCCTCCTCCTCTCTCTGGGGAGGGTTGGGGGCAGAGAAGGGCTGGGGGAGAGAGAGCGGGGAGGAGGGATGCTGGAGGTTTTGAGGGAGGGACGGGGGAGGAAATAAGCGGGGGGATCGAAGGGTCGTCCCTCATGGTTCCTCTTTCCTGGCCGTTCTTCCTTCTCCTCCTCCTCCTCCTCCTCCTCCTCCTGTTCCTCCTCCTCCTCCTCCTCCTCCTCCTCCTCCTTTCAAGACCCTTTCAATATCGACCCTAAGTCTAACTAAAGACGTGGCCGCAGAGAGGGGGCCCTCCTCCTACCCATCCTGCCTTCCCGAGGTCCTCGAGGTTGGTTGAGGTGGAGGAGCTCGCCCGTCAAGAGACACCGACGAAGGAGTCGACGAACTCGTGGACGTCGAACGGAGGCCTACCCCCTCGCCTCGCAGGGGGCCCCACAGGGCTGAGGCCTACACCCTCGCCTCGCAGGGGCTGCGTGTGGCCTACCTCCTCGCCACGCAGGGGTCGTCCTCCTCGGAGTCGGTCTGGTCCTCGTCGTCTGAGTCCGTGGTCGCGCCAGCGTGCGCCGACCACTCGGCGGCCTCTGTGCGGACGCACTCTACGAGGTCCTCGCACATGAAGATGGCCCTGTCGAAGTCGTCGCCGTGGGTCTCGCTCGAAGCTGCGATGAACAATTCGACGCCGTCCATCCCTTGCACTGCCGTGAGTAGCACGCGCACGCCAGTCTCCGCCTGGATGCAGCGGATGTTCCTGCTTTCCTCGCCGAGGATGCGGGACTGCCATGGGAAGTGCTCGTCGAAGTTCTCGGTGTCGATGGGGATGCTGTGTGTCATGGTGACCTTCTGCTTGCTGATGTGGCCTAACCCCTCGCCGTGCAGGGGTTCGCGGTGGCCTACCCCCTCGCCGCGCAGGGGTCCGAAGAAGTCGTCGTAGTCGATGCTATTGCCGTTCTCCGCCTCGGAGCTCTTCGTCTCGCGGCGCTCGTGGCCTGCTCCCTCGCCACGCTGGGGTGCGCAGTGGCCTAACCCCTCGCCACGCTGGGGTCCGGAGGAATCGTCGTCGGCGAAGCTGTCGCCGTCCTCCGCCGCAGAGCTCGTCTCGTGGAGCTCGTGGCCTACCCCCTCGCCGCGCAGGGGTTACAGGGCGTCGTCGTCGTCGAAGCCGTCGCCGTCCTCCGCCTCGGAGCCCTTCGTCTCATGGAGCTCGTGGCCTACCCCCTCGCCACGCAGGGGACCGGAAGAAACGAAGACGCCCTCGGAAGCAGTGCCCGTGGCAGCTGAGCCGCTCGGAGCACCATGAAGAAGAGGGTGTGCGGCCGATCGTGCTCTCCGCATTTGGTCCTCCACCTCCTCCTTGCTGGGCGGGGGGCGGAGGCTCGGCCGCCAGCTGGCGTAGGAGCGAAGGGCGCTATTGCCGACGTAGCCGTGCTCGTCGGTGTTGTCTGGATTCAAAGACTGCTTCTCGTTGGCGGAAGTGACGCAGACGCCGATGCTGTCGGGGGCCGCCGCTCCCGTGGGGTGCGTACGGTTGCTCCTCAGGGTTTCTGGTGTCATGCGGCCACCACGCTTCTTGCCGTTCCCGCGGCGCTGGTTTTCCTGCGGCCTCGCGTTCAAGACGTGGATTGCCTGGTCGAAGTTGTGCTCGGCATTGTTTCTGGATGCCCGTCCAGCTCCGCAGATGTTCGGTTTCGACCCGAACGCTGCGGCCTCGACCTTCTGCTTGATGACGGGCTCGACGTAGTGCATCCTCGCGTTGATCTCGCCTTGCAGAGGGTCGGCCGCGCCGACGAGGCTCCGCAGCAAGTCGTCCGTGCTTTGCCAGTTGTCCAGCTGTAAGTTGTGCCACCATTCTTCCCACCATGATAAGCGACGCTGAAGAGAGGCGATGAACGAAGCCTGCTCCTGCACCTTAGCTGTTGTGACTGCTCTCGCCTGGGCCTGTTTGCCCTTTCGTGCCGCTTGGACTGCTTTTGACCATGAGATGCCGGTTTCCTCGACGGGCTTTGCACACCATTGCGTAGGCGCGCCTTGCCCGAACCTCGCCATTCCTGCCACGTGCCATGCCATGCCTGGTTGTGCCAAGATGGTCGGGGCGCGCGACGCGGTTTGAGCCAAAATTGCTACGGACACCTCCTCCTCCTCCTCCTCCTCCTCCTCCTCCTCCTCCTCCTCCTCCTCCTCCTCCTCCTCTTCTCCTCCTCCTCCTCCTCCTCCTCCCTCTCCTCCTCCCTCTCCTCCTCCTCCTCCTCCTCCTCCTCCCTCTCCTCCTCCCTCTCCTCCTCCTCCTCTCCTCCTCCTCTCCTCCCTCCTCCTCCTCCCTCCTCATCCTCCTCCTCCTCCTCCTCCTCCTCCTCCTCCTCCTCCTCCTCCTCCTCCTCCTCCTCCTCCTCCCCTCCTTCCTCCCTCTCCCTCTCTCCTCCCTCCTGGTTCCTGCCTCACTCCTCTCCCCTGGCCGGCTCTCCTCGTGGGCAGCGCCAGAAGGCGTCATCTTGGTGGTCGCGGCCTTGGCGTGGTTCGTGCGCACCATCCGAACCAACCGCCGCTTGCACAGGGACGCCAACCGACTTGTCGACCGGCAGGCGTGGCAGGGGGGGGATCGGGGCAAAAGGGGGAGGGCAGACGCTGTGATGAGGGGAGGGCCGAAACGGCAAGGGAGCGCGGGGTCGAGGAGGACGTCGTGTCAGTCAGGCGTGGGATTGGGATGGGTCGCCCCAGAGCGTTTCAGAACGCTCCCGGGGAGTTTTGGAGCGCTCTGACACGGCCGCGGCGCCCGATACATCATCCTCCAGAACCGCCAGATTTCAGATATCCCCGATCTGCCCCGGTCCCGTTTGGTCGTGGCTTCGTCTGGACGAGGGGGCGAGGGTGAGGTGGGGCCGTACTGGGGCGAGCGGAGGGCGAGGGCATGCACGGTGCGGAGGCAGGGCGGTGGGACAAGGGTACCGTATAGCGGTCGTCTGCGCGGCCAGGCAAATTCAGTGGCCGCAGTGTCCCTATCCTTCCTCTTCCTCCTCCTCTTCTCCTCTTTTTCCTCCTCCTCCACCTCATCCGCCCCCTCCTCCTCCTCCTCCTCCTCCTCCTCCTCCTCCTCCTCCTCCTCCTCCTCCTCCTCTTTTCCACAAGGTGGCTCTGAGCGCCGCCGCAGCCATTCGGCGGCCCCACATCTCAGCCCTCAGCCTAATGCCCGCTCCGCGGGCTTATGCGATGGAGGAGTCGATGTGTCGCCCGTCGTGTGTGCGATCGCAGCTTCTCGCCGCCGTGCCAGGACGCGCTGCACGGCGGCCCGCCATGCGCAGGCCGCGGCTTGCGCACTCTCAGCGCTACTGCGACCGCGTGACCTGCTTTACATGTCGGAGAAGGGCGGGGCTCCAGGCGTGACTGATGGCCTACCGCTGCTCGTGCCTGGGGTCCTCGGTAGATGCATCCAGCACGTGCGCGCGGGAGGTGCGACGACCGTGGCATCCGAGCCGCGGCGGACGAGGGCTCCAGATGCGGCAATCGCCTCTGCTGAGCGCCTATGCCTGTCCTGTCACGCGCAGGTAAGCCTTACGCGGCCTGCCTGGAACTACTGCCGCGCATGTGCTGTCGCCATCGGGCCGCGCCGTATGCTTTCCGCATGGCTCCGAGCCCTCCTTGCGCACGCAGGCTGTGTCGCCGCACGCCCAGGGGAAGAGGGGATACTCGAGCTGCCTGGGCAGCCACGGTGAAGGGCCCCCTCCCGACGAACCGAGCGGTGAAGGGGCATCCCCCCCGAGGAATCGAAAGGAACTGGGGGGGTCTGCAGTGTGGCCTGGGCCGCCACGGTGAAGGAGATATCCCAGGACCCTCCGAGGAACCGAACAGAACTGTCTGGGGGTCGTGCGGCTAGGCGTCCTAGGCATCTCCAGCTCTGATTATTGTGTTTCTTTGCGCTTGTGCGCCTGGGGGCCCGCTCCGCGATCCTTCGGGTGGGAGGGTGCGCCGCCTTTTCAGACCGCGGAGGGGATGCAACTGCAGGCTCTCCCTCTCGTGTCCCGTCTTGCGCACCGCGCGGCGGCCGCCACCAGCGTCGTATCCTCTCTTTCCAGTGCCAACTTGGCTCAAGACAGTTGCCGCTTGGCCGCCGGCCCGCCGTCCGACCGATGCCTGGTACGCAGGACGCCCGCGCTGCGAAGGCGACGCTGGAGGCCGCGCGCGGCGTTGTCCTGGCGACGCACGCGGCGGCTGGGCGGGCGGGCGGCCAGCAAGAGGTGGCGCGCCTCATCCGCGCCGCCGAGGGCCTCCGAGCGGCGGTCGCCGTGATGGCGGCGCCCCCCGCGCCCGCCCCGCCCCAGACGGCGGCGGCCGCGCCCCCGCTGCCGCTCGGCGGCGGCGCCGCCCGCGCGGACGTGGCGGGAGAACGGGCGACGGGAGCAACACGGAGATGGCCGTGGACGGGTGTGGAGCGGCGGAAGGAGCTGCGCGGGGCGCCGCGGTTGCCGCCGCGCCGTTGGCGCCCGGTGAGTGGGCGAATGCGTTGCCCATCGTCGTGAGCGCCAAGGGCCAGGGCACGGGCAATGGTAAAAGCAAGGTGGTGCCTGGCTTCGCCGCAGCGCGGGCCGCCCGAGGCGTGGCCGCGCTCGAGCTGGTGCAGCTCCCCGTCGCGACGGCCGGCGGCGGCTCGGAGGGTGTCGCCGACATCGACTTGGGATGACTTGGGCGACCTGTCGGTGCTGCACGGCTGGCTGGCGAGCCAGGCGCATAGTTGTCGTCCTCCTGGAGGTCCACATGCGGGCGGCGCCGCTGGGGCCTTCGGTGGAGCTCGCTGTGGGGCCACGAAACGTGTGAGGGGTGTGCCGAAACGGGGGTGGCGCCCACATACGGGCAGCGCCATTGGGCCCTTCGGTGGAGCTCCCTATGGGGCCACGAAGCGTCTGAGGGGTGAGACGAGCGAATGGCAGAGGCAGGGATGGGAGATGGGAGGGGGAGGAGGAGGAGGAGGAGGAGGAGGAGGAGGAGGAGGAGGAGGAGGAGGAGGAGGAGGAGGAGGAGCAGCAGCAGATGGGACGCGGGGCGCTGTCTCTTCAAATCGACGACCCAACATCACAGGATGACTGGGGTAAATGTACTCCAGAGTGCATTTTTCATGAAATGTGAATTGTGGCCCGCCGTGAGCCGGAGTACATTCACGGGCAAGGCTGGCCCGAATTGATTTGGCACCCGCGAGTTTACTCAGAAGTAAATCCTTGAGAATGCTGGTTGGCAACACTGCCAGCGCGAAGCAAATTTACCCCAGAGTATATCGACTTTCGCGTTATGGACTTCGTTCCAACCTTCATTAACGCCAGAGCAAACTCATTCCGAAGCTGGAGCGGATTTCACACCGTCTGAAGGATTTATTTTGGAGTAAATCGTTGTATTTCCTCCTGGTTTGACCTTCCTCCTCCGAAGCCTCCTCCTCCTCCTCCCATCCGTGGGTTTGGTGTTAGAGTGTGGCTTTTCCTACGCGTGCGGAAGGGACCCTTGGGGGAAGCGCTGATGACGTGGGTGCCGCGTCAATGCAGGTGTCCAAAGTAATTAAGTTGCACGAGGCTTCCAGCAAATCGAAAAGTTAGCTGCATTGAAAATCCAGCCAGCTAAACGATGATTCGTGTCATTGTGGGCTGATTGCGATGCGGCCACGGCTGCGGAAGTCATGCTGGGCCCTGGTGCCGACCTCGCCGCTCAATGGGGAGGCCCTTGACAAAATGGTGCCTCTCCTACGTTGCCAATTTGTTCCCCCCGACCCCCAACTCACGGCCAAAAAGGGCTTAGCATTGCACAGACTTGTTACGGCTTCCTCCGAGCTCGCTCCGACGGTCAGAACTGTTATGGGTAGGCAGTTGGCTTAAGTCGGTAGCACCGATTCCCATCGAATCTAGTTGCATTGATTATGCGTGGCGCGAAAGTCGAAGGACCTTCTCAGAGTGGCGGGAATGTGGGGAGAGGCTTCAGGTGGCGGCGGTGGAGAGTGGATTCCTCATAGAATGTGCGCGCCAGTTGTGGTCGCCTCGCTTTTGGCGGTGGCGGCCTGCAATTGTTCAAATGTATATGGCTTTCGACCCACCATGGTCTGAATTCGCGACTGCTCTTGCGAAGCGACGGCCATTGTCTCGAGTGCTGATGTAGTCCCCGCGTCTCCTCCTTCTCCCTTCCTCCTCATCCTCCTTCTCCTCCTCTTCCTCCTCTTATTTTCCTTCTCCTCCTCCTCCTCCTCCTCCTCCTCCTCCTCCTCCTCCTCCTCCTCCTCCTCCTCCTCCTCCTCCTCCCTCTCCCCCCCTCCTGTTACTCCTTTCACTTTGGCACACCCCTCACACGCTTCGTGGCCCCAAAGGGAGCTCCACCGCACGCCCAGATGCCAGCGCTCGCATGCGGTCGCCGCGCCCACTTTGGCACACCCCTCACACGCCTCGTGGCCCCATACGGAGCTCCACCAAACGCCCAAATGCCAACGCTCGCATGCAGTCTCCGCACCCATTTTGGCATACCCCTCAAACGCTTCGTGGCCCCCATAGGGAGCTCCACCGAACGCCTAAATGCTGGCGCTCGCATGCGGCCGCCGCGCCCAGTTTGGCACACCCCTCACACGCTTCGTGGCCCAATAGGGAGCTCCACCGAAGACCCAGATGCCAGCGTTCGCATGCGGTCTCCGCATTTATTTTGGCACACCCCTTACACGTTCCGTGGCCCAATAGGGAGCTCCACCGAAGGCCCAGATGCCAGCGCTCGCACGCGCCCACCACATTCATGTTGGCACACCTCTCACACGCTTCGTGGCCCCATAGGGAGCTCCACCGAATGCGGTGCATACAACGACGGCACCCACAACTACATATGGTTGGGTCCTTTGCCAGGCTCATGTTTCAGAAGCTGTCCAAACCTTCTCTGAAACCGCAGGGGGCTTGTCAGAAGGCTGGCGGTTTCTGAGAAGCGCCGCCGCTTTCCGAGAGGGCCTGCCGCGCCAGTAAAACCTTGAGCCTCCACGGGGCGTTTCGTGGTACTTCATGCTCCCCTCCTCCTCCGCCTCCGCCTCCTCCTCCGCCTCCCTCCTCCTCCGCCTCCTTTTATTGTTCTTCCCTCCCCCATCCCTCTCTAGCTCCCACCCCTCCCTCCTCCTTCTCCTTATACATAACTCCTCCGTGTCGCACCCTGAGGCCGGTCGAAAGGGCAGGCTGGGCGTTTCGCTTGAGATTTCTAATCATTTGTGATCCTGAAGCTTACACTTGCAACAGTTACACGGGCAGAGGGCGGGTCGTTTTCAAAATGTGGGTTTGGCCTTAGCGCAGCGCACATCCGTTTTAACTGCAAGATTTCCACGGGGGGAGGGCAGGTCGTTTTCAGCATGTGGCTCTCGATTCAGCTCTGGGCCCTTTCTGGCATAAGGCCAAGTCGAGGGCCAAGCGGAACCCACGGCCCCCGCTTGGAGCCGATTGGCTCCGTAGGGTCATCTCGGCCCTGCCTGAAGAAGCTCCAGGTGTGGATAGGCTATCCAAGAAGGATTTCCAGTGGCTGCCGCCGTTGGGCCAACAGCAGTTAGCTGATATCTATACGCTAGTCGAGCCGGAAGTTAGTTGGCCCTGGC